GAACGAGTGGATGAGCTATTGATGTTCTGAGTATATGTACCCTCATTTGGACATTCATAATTCATCCACTCATTCACATGCATCACAAGAGGAAAACCGCACTAGAAATCGCAGCAAAACTTGCAAGTGTAAACGGACCTTTAGATAGAAGAGTGCATGTTGTAATATTGATAGAGCTATCCAGTATGAAGAAAGTTAGTTCAGTTACCTCTGTGTACTCAGTCTATACTACTGTATATACAGTCTGCAGCCTAAATTTATACCCTAACTGTATCCTTGATTGTCGTTGTTTACTGTAGTTATGGGGATGTTTGCAAACCATTTAAAAGATCAAGACAGGCCTATGACCAACCGTTTGCTAGCTTCTCAGATGAGATGGACTTTCTTACGGGTTTGTACTTTGCTTTTAACTATATATCGGCTACAGCCGGTGGTACTATTATGCTACTGTAATCCACTTCAGAGACTACATGTCATCTCTGAACTGTTGCGATTGCAAAAAGACAGTGCCAGTGGCATTAACAAAGTAGTTAGGTTTGTAACGCGAGTTTCTCAATCGTGAAGGCTTTTAATTTATGAAGCAAACAAGCATCAGACTCAAAACAGTTATGCATGCACATGAAGGTAGAAAATTTATGCCAGCAAACTAGAGTAGTACTGGTTGTATATCACTATATTTTTTTGTGTGTGTCTAGATTCTTTGGGATCGAACGATAGTAAAGCTGGGACCTTTCCGAGAAGACATCATACTATTGCTTGGTACAAATCTGACTTTGCAGACGGTATGTCATTTCTCCTCATGACTATTTCATTAAACACGACACGTGCAGTATCATTTCTGGTATGTGTGAAATAAACCCGTACAGTCCACACCTGACATTTCTAGTTCCGTTGTGTTTGTGTAGGTCATCAAACATTCCCTCGTATTCGTAAACCGCTTCCTTTTGCTTCATGTGCAATGGCGTCTGGTATTACGAGTGCAAGCAGCAGCAGTAGTGGTCTGGTGCCAGATATCGAAGATCGCCCATCCAGTCAATGTGAGTACTCGATTACACGATCAAAGTTTCTGTGATTACAGTATAGGAATTTTGCATATATGTAAACTTTAAGTTTTGAAGGATTTGTAAAAAATGTTTGAGAGAACTGACTCGGTGTTTATTACTGAAAAATGCTTGAAGTTTCATTCAACTTAACATCGCTAAAAGCCAGCGATGTTAAGTTTTGCAGTGACACTTTTACTGGTGGCTCATTTAACAGTACGATTTGCTTAAACTTTTGACAAAAAGTAAATCGTATACGCAAAATAGTAAATGGATCATGTAGTTTCCTTGGTAGCAATACAAAAAACATAAAGCTTTTCCAAGAATTTCTCTGTTGGTTATTTAGATCAATCTGTGCCTAAACATTGGAAGTTGGGTAAACTCCTTGGAACTGGGGCATTTGGTCAAGTCTTCTTATGTCACGATACGGAAAATGGACGAGAGTTAGCCGTGAAACAGATTGAAACTGGAATTACAACTTCGGCAACACAGAAGGTTTATTTCTTACTATTTTGTTGTCCTGCTTCTGAAAATGAACCGGACTAGTTACTGCACAGAGGCAAACCCTTGAAGCTCAGACGAGAACCATCTACAACTCTACTTTCATGAATTTTAAAGCACGGAAAATTTAGCTATCCCTAAGTAAATCCCTTGCCTCAATCACATTGAGAAATGTCGCACTAACCGCATCTGCCTCCCGTGAGAAGTTGTTCTCATTCAGCTAATATTGGTATTTACGCTTTCAGGAAATAAATTCTCTTGAAGTGGAAATTGAATTACTGAAGAGTATTCATCATGAGGCCATAGTCTCCTACTTTGGAACTCAGCAAAGTGACACGAGAATATGGATTTTTATGGAGTATATGGCTGGGGTAAGAAAATTACTCCGTAATTTGAATCGTAAAATATAACTTGCATGATGGTGCAGTTTATGCTAATATTTTTTCAGGTAGTGCAGACACGAACAACGTAGAAGCACTCTATACATTGGACGCTGACGTTCAATTTAAAAACATGCGAAAACGGATCTGCTTATATAATGTTGGCTTAAATAAAGATACGCTGGACGCTGAAGTTTAATTTAAAAACATGAGAATATGGATTTGTTTATATAATGTTGGCTTAAATAAAGATACGTCGGACCCTCAAGTTTAATTTAAAAACATGAGAATATGGATTTGTTCATGTAATGTTCGCTTTAAGTAAAGATACGTTGGACCGTCAAGTTTAATTTTAAAAAACATTAGCATATGAATTGTTTACATAATGTTGGCTTTAAGTAAACATCTGTCTTGCAATTTTTAGGGTTCAATCTACGACCATCTGAAACAACATGGTCCTTTATCTGAAAGTTTAACCAGTAGATATACCAGACAAATATTGGCAGGAGTTTCATATCTTCATTCATACACCGTTATACATCGTGACATTAAAGGTAAAGGTACAGTGTGGTACTACAGTGGGTTGGTGCATGGTAGTACAGTGCATGGTAGTACAGTGTACAGTGTATGGTAGTACAGTGTACAGTGTATGGTAGTACAGTGTATGGTAGTACAGTGGGTTGGTGCATGGTAGTACAGTGGGTTGGTGCATGGTAGTACAGTGTATAGTGGTACATTGGGTTGGTGCATGGTAGTACAGTGTATAGTAAGTAGTACAGTGAGTGGGTTGGTGCATGGTAGAACAGTGCATGGTAGTACAGTATATGGTAGTACAGTATATAGTAGTTCAGTGAGTGGGTTGGTGCATCATAAAACCATAGTGTTATTCTTTTAATCGATGTCAAAACGCGACATTTCTCGTGTTAACCGCGCAGACAAGAAAGGGACTGGAACTGACGTCCAATAGCTTTTCAATTTCGCCATTTTGGTTTCAAACACCTCAGGCTTTCTTCTGGTTCCCTCCTGTAGTAACACTGCAACAAGGAGTGGTCCGTACAGGGCTCGTAGAGGGAACAGTTTGGAACTGATATCTAGTAAAAATAATATTAGTTTACTTCGGGTTTCCTCTTGTAATAACACAGAACCACATATCGGTTACTGAATTTCTATAGGAAGATCAGTTTGGAATTAAGGGTTATTTAGAATTTTTTTTCTAAATTTTTTAGGAGCCAACATTTTGAGAGACACGAAGGGAAACGTAAAGTTGGCTGATTTTGGCGCATCAAAACGACTACAGGTAATGATGACATTATGTGCATTTTATAATCGATGAGCAACCGTGGTTTGTGTCTCAATTATCTGAAAAAGATCAAAGCACGTCGACCTATAGTCTTCCTCAATGACGACACTGTTCAGATTTGTTCCACTCAATTTGCCTGATAACTTGATAGAGCTCATTCGTTTTTTCCAACTACTGTATCGTTAATTGCCCAAACAATATTTTCAGGTAGTTCGCTAGTTGTTGTAGAATTATATTACCTATACACTGTACCCTCGCGTTTGAGATATATTTTTCAGGTATAGTTCAGGACTTCAGAGAAGTGGGCTCGGCTCCAACTTTTCAGCCTGCCCGGTGTGGACATACACTCAGAGTAACATCAAAAACATTATATTCACCTGAGTACTTAACATCAAAACACACACAAAAAATATTATTTAACTTTGCCAAAGAACATGCTACATATGACACACACAAGACATATACCATAATTACAGATGGCAGGTACACGCTACAGCTTTCGCCAATTACAGCAGCTCTTTAAATGAACTTTAAACCATTTTACTGGAAATAATAATTTCAATAAAATGTTTGTACATTTTGTAGACAATAAGCAGTATGACTGGCTTCAAGTCTGTCCATGGAACACCGTACTGGATGGCACCTGAGGTTATTAATGGTGCTGGTTACGGCAGGAAGGCCGATGTCTGGTAAGTACATTGATTTGTTGTTAATACTCGAGAAATTACAAGGAGTTGAATCAACTCGAAAAGAGTTATTTTGTCACCAAAAACAGTGACAGCCTCGTACCCAGGGCCCAGGCTCTTTCCTCTTGGCGAGGGAAGAAAAGCCCCGGTAGACGCTGGTCACCTGATCTGCTAAAAGCTAGCAGATTTTTAATTAGCAATCCAAGATGAGGTTAAAGAAATATTTGATATTTGGATAATTTTTATAGTTTAATTTATAATTTGCTTTTTGTATGATTGTCGTAAAGGAATCCAAGATAGTTAATTAGAAATCTGCTAGAGTTTAGCCGATATCACGTAACCAGCGTCTACCACAAGAGGGAAAACCCTGGGTACGAGGTTGAAACAGTGACAGAATAACATTTTTGGTCTTCTTGACATTTACAGTGAAATTACTGAGAATGTGTTGTCTGTGTTTTACATCTTACAGTATACCTATCAAATATAACTTAACCGATTAGCCACGGTTAGTGTGCGGTAAATCCTTGGCTTAACCTAACCCACAGGGGCTTTTCAGACCTGGGGCACCTGGAGAAACCCACGACTTTCGGCAGAGCGTTGACTGACTCTTTTCACATGAGTTTGTAGCGAGAATCGAACCCACGAACTCCGAGGTGAAAGGCGCTTGGTTTGACAACTGCTCCACCGAACAGTACTTCTGAACGGTACTGTATTCTCACTCTGATAACTGCTGTGTGACAGTGTTAAACCTACCTAAACATGATTGTATGATTATCCCTCTAGGAGTATAGGCTGCACGGTTATAGAAATGCTGACAGGTAAACCACCCTGGGCAGAATTCGAACCAATGGCGGCACTTTTCAAGATTGCGACTCAAGAAACCGAAGCAAATTTATCCCAAGATACTTCGAGCAGTGCTCGAGATTTTATCGAAACGACCCTTACGAAGTAAGTGTGTTATAGTTTGTCCATTTAGTTTTTCCTTGATTGCTGCTTTTATTATCAATATCAAGTTGTGGTCAACCATATATACCAATAACTCTGTATTGTCAATTCGAGTCAACTGGGAAAGGAACGAATTTAATGTTTCAACTTTATATAACTGAGTCGTCTTCAGCTAGGAAAATCTGACAACCAATATAAAAATACTTCGGTTTACTTTGAGAACTGTTGTTTACTTTTGACTTTTGTTAATTTATGAAGTCTAGCATGATAATAATTATAAACCACGCACTTATTTGATGAGTTTAGTTCAATAGCTTATCCAGAAATTCTTTCAATTTTAGGGATCCAAATTCACGACCCAGAGCTGCTGAGCTGCTCTCACACTCTTTCGTTCAAGACTATCCAACCACGTGATATTTCCTGGAACTTTAGCAAAGCTAAAGAATTTGGCACGATAATAAGTATGAGTGTCCATAAATTGTGATGCGTCCTCGTGCATTAAGACGGTGTTACAGTATTAAAAGGGCGATAAAATGATCAAAACTTTATCCAGTTATAAGACTTGAGGCTTCATCCAGTCCTAGGACTAGATCAAACTTCATCCAGTCCTAGGACTTGATCAAACTTCATCCGGTCCTAGGACTTGATCAAACTTCATCCAGTCCTAGGACTTGATCAAACTTCATCCAGCCCTAGGACTTGATCAAACTTCATCCAGTCCTAGGACTTAATCAAACTTCATCCAGTCCTAGGACTTAATCAAACTTCATCCAGCCCTAGGACTTGATCAAACTTCATCCAGTCCTAGGACTTGATCAAACTTCATCCAGTCCTAGGACTTGATCAAACTTCATCCAGTCCTAGGACCTGATCAAATTGCATTCAGTCCTAGGCCTTGATCGTGAATTATATTTCATCCACTCCTAGGACTTTATCAAACTTGATTTAGTCATAAGACTTGATCAAAACTTTATCTACTTAGCCTATAAGAGTTGATCAAAACTTTGCCCAGTCTTAGACGTGATCAAATTTTATCCATTCTTGGGATTTGAAAAAATTCTAGGATTTGGTCAAAATTTGTCCAATCCTAGGACATGATCGAAATATTATCTAGTTGTAGGATTTATTGAATCAAAACGTTATTCAGTTCCTTGTGTAACACCGTCTTAATGTCAGGCGACAATAGAATGTGTACATTTGAATATTTTGATATTTTTGTAAATATAAATTCACTGCTAAGTGTTGTACATAATGCACAGTATTGCGAAATGATAGTGATAAATTATTTTGATCCATTGACCATTCGACGGTTTTATCCAAGCATGTTTTTACACTTTCAAATTTTTATACCCCCAAATTATGAAGCAATGTCGTGACACAGGAAAGATTTAATACACATTTTCCTATTTGTGGTGTGTCGAATTATTTGCCGTCTTTTTTACAGTTAAGTATTTAATGTCACTTGCTTGGATAAAACCTTTCTCGTATAACGAAATTTTTGCTGGTGTAGGCTTCACGTATCGATAATTAATTTTTCAGTTCAATTCGTCGCGTGTAAAAAGATAGGTGCCTAAAAACTAGCCTTAAATCTTAATCCTTCGACAATTTATACGTGAAGTCTATTGTTAAACCAGTAATTCAATCACATGCACGAAATAGTAGTTTACTGTGTGAATCGAACTGAAATTTAGAGATTGAATGTAATAACTTAGTTTTGTATTGGATTAAAATCTCGCAACCGAGGGTCCTTGTTTTATCACCTTTATCAACTGACGTAAATGTTTTACCACATTTATCAACGAATATACATGTTGTATCAACATTTACCCACTAATGTACGTGTTGCGGTGTTTTGGCGGGAAGACCACGAGGTTTCGACATTGGCTTTGGATGTTGGCGTTCGGATGGCCAAAAATTGTTGAAAAAGCTATACCAAAATGATGGCAAATCACTCGCTCATATGTGCTGAACAAGGGTAAGCTGTCAATTTTGCAAAAAATTAGTTTTTGACGTTTGAAGCAGTTAATATTTCCTGGGGTTTGCGAGAACTTTCGAGACAAATTTAGCCAGGTGCCATGATGCAGACAGTTTGATGAACTTTTATATATTCTTTCGAAAGAAATACCTTTATATAAAGAGTTTAAGGACGTTTAAGAATGCAACCACGTGAAAAATATAGAAAATACTCAAAAAGTTTCGTGGGAAAGCGCTTCCTGACTTTGTATAAAAGACGAAAAAGTCTTCGACTTTCTGCTCGTAATAAACATCGAAATACTTTTCATATTTTGAAGTAGTTTTAATATTTGATTTTGTAATGTATTTATTCTATAATTGTTTATCTCAATATATACACAGTATTTACAGTTCTCAAATGCCACAAATTTAAACACAAGGCAAACAATATCAGTCATTACTGTAACTCTACCTTACAGTCTTTACAATTTTTCATAAATAATAGCTAATTAATTAAATATGTTTACAAGTGTGGACAGTGCAGTTTTGGTGAAATAAATTTTCATTTGAGGGGTGCTGGGACGAACATTTGGTTCTATTCTTTAGGTGTAAACAGCTGTTATATATAAATGCTTATCTGGGCCACAAATTTCTAACCTTCTTTGGGTCTTTCTGCAAAACATCCATTAGCCTGCGTGGCAGGCCCTCAGTTTTATGGGGGGCCTGATTTGCAACGGGCAGGATTTTGACGGGCACAGGAATTCCTCCCCCGTGCCCGCCAAAATCCCGCCCGCTGCAAATCAGGCCCCCCATAAAACTGAGGGCCTGCCATGCAGGCTAAACATCCATATACACCTCCCCCACGGAGGAAATTGGAAGTTAACTCCCCTATCCCTTTCAGATGTCCTATTAATACACTAGCTATCATCCAAGAGAAATTTTTTCCCCTCCCCCAGACGGCAGAAATTTCCTTCTTGGGGGGAGTGTGAATCTTTTCAGGAATGACCCATTGTTACATTAACTCCTACATTTGTGACCTTGACTGGCTCTTGATGTGCATCAAGGAATTGCTCATGAACCTACATCTAGATTTTTAAATTTACACGTCCAAAATCTTGTTGGAAAGTGTCCAAGTTATGTAATCAGACCCTTCAAACACCTTCCTTGTTTCACAATATAAATACCTCTATCATAATATACTCTTTCACCAATTTTATATATTACATTGTACAGGAATTTTAAACTTTATTTTGCATAATAATTCATAATTAAGGATTTGCTTCTGAACACTTCCGAGTCTTGCCGTATGTAATTTGTTGGAATTTTTGTCTTATCTCTGCACCTGAAAATAATAAATTTTGTTGTTGAGTGTGATATTAGTGTGTGAGTATACATGCATGTCAGAGTTGGCAGTCGTACGGCCTTTGCCAGTGGGCTTATAATTGCAGTTGCTTCATGTTAGCAGGGATGAATTTACTGGGGGGTGCCCTAGCCCTGGCATGATAAAGCAAAAAAAAACAAAATGAGATACAGTAATTTGAGTAATAACATGATGATAAGTGAACTATGAACAACAGTTACAATTCAAATACAGTAGCTGATGGGCGGGCAGCACACATGACCGACACAACTCGGCAGTCGGCACCAGAGCACCCCCCCCCCCTCCAGATCATGCTGGATCCATCCCTGCATGTTAGGTGACTTAGGTCTATAAATGTGTATATAATAAGTTAGCCTTCAAAAATTCCATCTCTGAAAACCCTTCTTGCTGCTTCATTCCCTTTATTTTTGCTGTTGGAATTTACCCTGACGAGGCCTAGCTTATAAATGTGGCAACCCAGTCTGCTCTTAGCCATTCATGACCTTGGCTCACAATGTGCATTTGCTCCTCTGAAATTCAAAATATTTCCGGTAATTTGGATCGATCTCAAAACTGTGTGGGGTGCGTTTGGTTTCCTTTGGCCCTCGGGCTAAACTCTCAGCTTTAATGTTAGTTTATGATTGGGTGGTACATGTTGTTAAATGCTATGTATGTGCTAGGCAACTGTACTCGAGGATTCAATTTGCCATGTATTTGTGTCAATTAAAGACTTATAGAAGAAGTGAAGATGAAATTGTGTAAAAGACCCATATTTAGCCAACACTCAAGATTATTATTTTCCAGAGTGATTTGGACGTCATTAACTTGTGCGGGCCTTTTGTGCACAAGTGTGTTCTTTTTGAGAGTTTATTTGTGATACAGAAAGACTCTTTTATGTTGCTTGGATGCCGGAATATCCCCTCAGAGTATTAACCTACATCTAAAGTATGCTTCAAGTCATTGCCATGGGTGTGTTTATAAATATATAATCATGGATGTAGCCAACTTTAAAATGATATTCCATAACTCTATGATTACTTAGATGAATGATTGCCCAGTAGCAAACTGGCTCTTAAACTCTTGCTAAACTAGACTGACCAGTCAAGTTGAGCATTAAGAAGTACCACCTACTGGTATATACTTAAGTTCTCTGAAATGAATTTACCCATTGAGCGCCAGCACTCTCCCCTTGACGAGTAAAATCGTTTACCGTTTGACAAAGTTGGGTGCATTGGGGTGCAATGCAACTCAATGGTTAAGCATAGATAATCAAGATATTTTCTAGAAACTTGGCATTACAACAGTCCATCAATCTCAAAGCTTCTCTTTCAGATCATATTGAGTGTCTGTTGTGCATGGATCCCAAATGGCCACAAAGTCGCACTTTCATGGATTAGCAAAAAAATCCGGTTTATGTTTTAGGCAGTATTCTCTCGCCCACGAAGGCTCATGCATACTGTATATCCCAGTACATGGTATCATGTACTGGAACGGTATTACACCTAACAAATTTTGAGTTACACCTAACAAATTTTGCACCCAACTATCTCATTGCATATACAGTATTCTAAAACTTCGCCAGAAAGATATTTGATGAATTTTGAAAGTTTGCGTACGCACAAGAGAAAAAATTTTTTTTACGTTTCTTTGTATATATCCTGTTTTCCGGACAACGCTCTCAGAATGATCCTAAGTGCTACAACTATTTTGAATAGGCTATAATGCCACTCAAACCAGCAATGAAAGCCGCCTCACCTTGTAGTTTCAAGTACATTTACATGCATTTAAACACGTACAAGCTTTATCCAAGTCTCTATGGGTTGTTGTATGCCTTATTTTGTGGTTGGGTTCATTGATTCCGGCTGTGTGGTCCTTTTCTGTTTCGTCGTATTTTCTTTTCTTTGAACGAAAGTAATCTAGAAATAAAGAGCAGGTTAGCTTGTGAGTTTGTTGAGACATAATCATCAATATTAGCTTTCAAATAAAACTAAAGCCTGGCAAACCTTTTAAACTTATGATCTCATCAGTTTTTTTTAATTTAATGAACTCAGGCAGGCTGGCTAAGGTTGAATTATTCAATGTACTGTGCACCGAGAACGTCATATTAACTATAATAGGTGATGCAATAATTAGATAAATTGTAAAATTGAAATTGGATTAAGATGATGTAGGTTTTAGTAATTTAGAGGCAATGCTGCACTTTAAAATGGTATTTCAAGGTTTGGTAGAATCATAAGCCTTGTTCACACTATCAAAGTTTCTGTGATCACAATAGAAATTTTGCATAGCCATAAATTATAAGTTTTGAAGGATTTGTAAGAAGTGTTTGAGGAAACAGATTCAATGTTAAACACTACTGAGTCAGTTCTCTCAAACAGTTCTTACAAATCCTTCAAAACTTAGAATTTACCTAAGTCTTCACAATTTGTTTCCAATTGGAACTGGGCCAGCCCTGTAGTTTACCGGACTCCCGCTTGAGCGAAGCGCGATTCCGCCTTATATCCATGACACTTAGCGGCTTACATGAACAGCCGCTAAGATGATTAACTTAATAACTTTATCAGTATATTAGATATTAGTCCTAAACTGTTCTTCACAGAAGTCCGGTTGGGGTATCGACGTAACGTTTTGATCCAAAGTTATACTAAATACATCAATTATACCCAAAGAAAATGTGAAGTGAAAATGAAAGTACTGCTCTCACGTGCAAATGAGGCGTAGAAAAATCCACAGTGTAGGAATCTGACGGTTTTCAAAGAACTGAATTAGAGACTACGTCCACACTACGCTGGAGCGGTTTGAACGAGTTTGAAAACGTCACTTTTGCCGTAACAATTTGAGCACAATCTCTAAAGCGAACGAGATGAAAACGGAGCGCCTAGCGGCTTCTTGTGGGCAACGGCACTGTCTTTATCTTGCTCCACTTTAACAGTTTTTAAATTATTTTTTTACTTTAGCATTCTTTTATTATCCTTTTATTAGTATTTTTTCAAATTTTTCACTATTTGAGCTCGTTTTGCGAATCCGTATGGAAACTAACGGTTCAGTGTGAAGAGACGTAATACGTATAGCGTGATAGTTTTGCGTTTCGCCCCGGCGTAATGTGAACGTAGTCTTGACTCTCCAAACATGCCTTTACAGGTTTCACCCACACACAAGAGGCACTCAATATTAAAATCATAAGACGCCATAGACTAAGAGAGCTAAGAGAGTGTTTCCTAACGGAATTTTCAGGATAAAGATGTTCTCGAAAATGTTTCAAGTATTTGTACACATCTGCATGTATACGCAGTGCATGGAATGAAGTATTCTCGGCCCTTTTTAAGTTAATTTCATTACCGGCAAGTTTGTCACAAACATTAACACATGGCTCTATTCTTCTGGGCCCGCGGTTGTTCAAAAGCCGGTTAGTTTAACGGTTATTTTCAAGGTTAACTTAAAATTCAAAGCAAACTTTCCAAACAGCTTGTTTATAAATTTGGAAATATTTCTTTAGAAATCTTGTATGGATCAGAAGGAGTTCTTTTTTCCTGATGTTTTGAAATAAACAGACGTGCAGAGATACACGAACTGAAACAGGGAGTTAAATTATAATCTTGAGTTGGCACTAATCCAGCTTTGAACAACGAGCCCTTGCTATACAGTATAAGACCATTTTACCAAACAGAATTAGCCTCTCATGCACGGCCGATTTGTCCACCATTTCTGGGGTGCTGCCTCTTCCGCCTTTGAGAGTCTCCGCACCACGAAATGCAACTTTTTAGTACTGTAGTTTGTATAATGGTAAATTTACAGTTACAAGTTTAAAAGTCGCTTTTCACGTTTTTTGAATTGTCTGGAATCGTTCACGAGTGCAGACAGTACCCCCCAAAATGGCGCATTTTAGCTTTCGTGAGAAACGCTAATTGATCATTGAGGGAGAATTTGCAGTGTCGTTCTTATAGTTGACAGTTGCGAAAAAATTGCATTACATATGTAAAATACTGAAGCATACAACTATACGGAACTCCACCCATTTGAGCTTATATAGGACTCGTAACACGGCAGATAATACCTACTTATGTGTTACAGTGTTAATGGCAAGGAAGGACAGTATATCCGCGAGTCACTAAATTGTTTACCGTATATATTGCGTCAGATAAATACATTGTATAGTGCAAACATTTACCATAATTTGCTTGCTCGTGTATAAGTGTCATATACATTTGAAGTTGGCCAGCATATACAGCACCATGCAGCAAAATGGTTTACTGCACGAGAGCCACCAATATGTTGGCATTCCTTATAACTAGAGGCTTAGCCTTAAGGCTTGTACAATATATACACGCAACCTGCACGTCTAAAATAAATGTAAGTATAAGTCTTGATTAGTGCCTTAGAAAACTATCACAGTATTATAGTATTACACTGTCACTGATATACTAAAAATCGACTAGTCCATGACCATCAGTTCATTTATATTTGTATGTAAGCATTTCGTGTGGTTTTGGGGATTATACCCAATATATTTAATATTTCCCCCAAACCGTTGGCTTATTTGGTTACCCAGCAACCGTCAGACAGTTATAATAATTTATCATCTGATATTGGGCCTTGTAGTATTCTGTCAGTGAATGACTTCTCCTTTGATTCTTATAGTTTACGATATTTGTACTATATGCTCCAATATATAGTTGTAGTACTAATCTTCAGTTTAGTTAAAAAAATTCACTAAAGCACAATCGGTAGTTAATTAACTTGTAGCTGTCGGAGTAAGATTGTATTGTAAACTGTTTTCATTATTTGAAGTACAGCTAGTCCTGCATTTCATGCTCAGTAAATTGAATTCAGAGATGTAATTTCATTTGTGTGATCGTTCAAATGTTATCATTTCTGAAGCTCACCATCATTTGGTGCCCCATATATCGCTTACTAAAAACCACAACTGAAAGGAACTATAGCTTACCAGTTATTTTATGTTCCCCTTGATCTTTCGACGATGTGTTCTTTAGCGAATCGTTCTTGGAAAGTACTTGAGAACCTCTATTTTTCGAGATCGCCCTATCTTCTGTTGGTAATTTGTTACAATTCCTAGTTCTGTTCAAATTTGAAACTCTTTCCCAAAGATAACGGCCCGGCAACGGTTCTTCCTTTTCAAAATCAAAATTGTATTGTAGTTTCTTTTCTTGTAGTCTTTCGATATTTTGTTGCCGCACTTCTTCGCGAAATTCATCGCGGTTATCAGTTCCAAATAGATTTTTACACACTCCTCGACTCGGAGTTATACTTTGACGTTGTCTCGAAGTTCGCACGTCGGAACAATTCGAACTAGCTGCCGTAAAGTTAACCATTTTTTTGCCGTATCTCAACTGCACCGGTCACTCCGCATCCGCTACTAACACAACAAACCGTTTTAAACTGCCTTTATATAAGTGTCAAACAGTTTGACTGATTTGTAATTGTTATGCAAATGTAGCTTTTCTGAGTGAATGAAAGTTAATGACTCGCACGAGGCCCCATTGTCTCGCAATATAATCGTGTATAATAGCACAGCAAAAGGTTCGTAGGCTTATCCTTTGTTGGTAAACTAATTATTTGTTTTAGTTAGCTTGGGGCCATGTGTCTCTGCTTTGAACAGCTCGTTGAATTCCCATTTATAAGAAAGGCTAGGAGTTGCAGTTTAACACATGCATGCATGGGTTGGGTATTAAGTGTTATATATGGTGCTACATGAACCAAGCAGATTATGCTAAATAAATTGTTTCCTTTGTATATTTGCCACCAAACACAAGGTCAATACATATAATTGGAACAATTTAGTTACTCTAACCGCATCTTTCCTTTAACCCACCCACTGCATGCATTCTTGAAAAAAAACTTAGGAAACTCTTTAAAATTTCCTGGATTGGTACAGTAAGAGAGTTTAGCGAAGCTGGTTCAGTTTTAGAAGTATCGTTTAAAATTGTTACATAGTTAGGTTTTCCCTGTATGTTTGAATTGGCTGTTTTGCCGTCACGTGTCCTCCGGGAAATCTCCGCCTCTGCCACGTGTGGTTTGAGAAAGAGAATACAAAACATAAAGCACGAAATTGTTTACTTTTGTTTCTGTTTGGGCTATAAGCGTTGGCTTTTAGTAACCTTAATGGGCTAGCAGATGGTGCTCAATCTTAGGAACGGTACTGATTTTTGTAAGGACAAGCAAATTAAACTTGATATTTCAATTCTATGTATTTCCCACTCAAAAAAACTATATTATCAAAAGAAGTAACATTAGTTTCACCCGATTATAGGTTGACCACCATCTGCTGTATGAAAGTGCTTAGTGAGACCTGGAATCTTGATTGGGACCACTTTTTCTTTTCCCTTACAAAAAATAAATAAATTTTCCCTTACAAAAAAATTGCACTATTCAACCCCCACACCCAAACGCATTGTAAATTACCAAAAGTTGTCTCGAGGTTGTTCACAACATTGAACTGCGGCATCATTTAGTTTGACTTATCATTTACCTTCACGTATAGATATTTCACACGACAGCCTTGACCATTTTGTCCAATCTTGGCAATCTGGATACTGTAAAAGTTATTACTGCATTGCCCGCGAGATTGTGCCCTCGGTAGCGCCACCAGAATTTTGACGCAAGACTTTGGATTAAAGTTTTGTCTTTGAAAGAGGGTCACACTGGCACACACTTTGATCACTCAAGAACTTGCGATAGGGTAAGTCATCTTTATAATTTTGAACATCATAATTTTCCTCGAAATTTGCGGACATTTGACAATTTGATTTTGTGCTAAGCATGATGCAGATTTTAAAGCCAGTATAAACTCATGCATCTTCAAAAGTTCATCTCTGAGTGAATGAGACTGTTTTGACTTCATTATATTATGTATAATATAACCATAGAATACAACCTTATTTTAATATATTTTTGTATATTATACTTTTTGTGTGTATTGGTTTATGTACTCAAATGAATATTATTTTCAGCTTGCCTGGTGTGGATGCACACTCAGAGTAACACCACAAACATCATTCTGTATATGTTTACAGCAGCCAAGGTTGTCGTTTTGTTCTTCTGAGTTCCATGTGGGCAATGACAGCTTGCAAATGTATGCCGGATACCGCGGAAAAGACATTCAAAATGGTTGGCAAGCGGATAAAAACTATGTGGAGAAACCATGGAAGAGGCAACTTCAAAGACATGGTAACCAAGTGAGTTTAAAGATACGGCAATCAAGGTGTTGGCGGTATGTGAGCTATTTAATACCATATTTTCGTAATAAATTTGTTAAGTAGTGTTTCAACATTAATGCTGCATTTTTGGTCTGTTATGTGGGTTGTGAGTCATAGCAGCCATGCATGGTATATAATTGAAAACGAAATTGTTTGACTGCTCGGTGTCAAGACGTTTTCGGTCATCTTCAGTTCGCGATTAAACGATTAACGGTAGATTAAAAATTTCTAAAAGAAAATGAAGTGGTGTAAAATGCCCTTCAAAAGCTGTGTGCTCAACCAAAAATCACGACTACCTCGAGTATTTTTATTAAACGCAAAACAATAGACACTACGTATATGGTCAACCCAAAAATTGGGTGTTTATATATACACGTATATTACGTTCCGATTCAAAACTAGTGGGCCTACTTATATTCGATGCAACGCGCAAGCGCAGAACAGTTCCGCTTATCATGCATTTCGAATGTTATTCCAAATGTCACAAATCTTCGTTCGTGCACATTTCAACCAAAAAGTTGGGTTTATACACAAATGTTGTGCATGACCAACCAAGAATTCGAGTTCAGAGTTCAGACACAAATATTGTGTACGAACTACTGACATATCTACAAGATAATCCGTGCAACTGGGACTTGCACTTCGAAGAAATGCTCAAAAAAGCAAGTGGAAGAATGTACATTATGAGAGTTTGCAAATACTATGGACTATCAATTAAACAATTAGATCTGCTGTTTGATAGCCTAATTATGTCGATATTCACTTTTGCTATTGAGCTGTGGGGTTGTGCATCAACCTCGTTCCCAGGCTATTTGCTCTTGGGAAGCAAAGACCCAACCTCGTTCCCAGGGTCTTTAGGAAAGACCCTGGTATCGGCTGGTCACGTGCCTCGTCCAAAATTGATTGCCCGAGGGGGGGTGTGGTGAAAGTATCAAATTACAAACAGTTAAAAACATAAATTTTGCGAACTATTACCTGCAGTAAGTTCAAAGTACTTGCTAATTTTTGTTTATTTTATTTGCATTGAATTTACAAGAACATTCTTACATTTTTACCAACAGTCAAGTCAAGAAACCAAGCAAATCGTTACTCGCAGTGCTTTCTCGTGTTATTATTATTCAATGCTCTCTTCACACTCGAGCGCGGTTTTATAACAAACGTTTATGGGCTTTTCAGTGGTCACCATTTCTACATATCTAATGTTTTTAAAACAAGCATTAGATTTGTCCTTTTTTGTAAACGTTGCTATGCTTTGCACGTCTTGTTTATAAGATTTTTAAAAGAAACAGTATTGTATTCTCTAGGACTGTAGAGTAGAGCCCAATATCAGCAAATGTAAGCATTTGATACTAGCCAAACAGAGAAATGTCTGTCAGTGATTTATCTTTAAAATTTTGGATTTAGTACATAATTCGTATTCATTAATTATAGTAAGGCTTTAGCCTAGCTTTTTCTTGGTCAGATAATGTTTTCCTAATATGCACACAACTAGGCTATGATCTACATCACAAATTTACAGTGTCAGACGCGCACAGACTGCCATACGAATACACATAAATTTTCGAGTTTTCTACTTCTACTAAGGCTACTAACAGTTTTCATTGTGTCTCAATCATCTTAGTGTTTATTTCTAGTTCAATAAGTTCATTTATATTTCTATATTTATTTGATAGTGGCATATATAGTGATACTTGTAGGCTATTTACACACAACTACACAAGCAATCCTGGATAATAATAATAATAATAATCTTTATTCATCAAAATACCAATACAGGCACATGTGAAATTACATACAATAAAAGATACAAAGCGTATCTATATGTGATAGTTGTTATAAGATATAAGATTATAAAAAGTGCATTAACATTTTTTATATCATGAATGAAGATATGCATGATTACATAATGCACTGATTATCATATAATAGAAGAATGTCATGAAAATATTTTGCTACTATTTTCATGATAGATTTATCATGTATATTAAAAATATATAAGAATAAATTATTTGTACCAAATAGGCGGAAAGAACTATTGATACCATATAACTCGTTTAAAAAAATATTTCGAGTTTCTGAAATTTTTTGGTTGGAGCATGATAATAAGTAGTGAAATTCATCTCCAATTTCACTCGATTGACATAAGGTACAAAACCGATCTTCGTATGGTGTTTTGGTATATCTTCCAGATTCAACCGGTAGTTTGTGCGCCGATATTCTCATTTTTGTTATTGCTTGGCGATGCTTAGCATTGCATATTTCATGAAGGTATTCTTCAAATACAAAATTATTCTTAACTTGTACTAGAGTTCTTAATTTACCACTGTGACGACTTTGTTCAATCTGATCTTTCCAAAAATGAGTAAAATAAGTAGATAATCTATTTTTTAGATATGTACCTACATTATGTAAACTTTCAAGTGGGAGAGAAATACCGTTTAGTGAACCCAGATCACATAGTTTTAATATATGGTTTGTAAAATTAACTGCCTGAGTATTCGCTCGGATATTAAAACTCGCTGCCTCTCCTACAAGAGTATTCATATAATTCGGACCTTTAATTCGTATCCAATACTTTGTCACTAGAGTAGAGATCTGTACTATTAGAGGGACTCTACCTAGTTCACCGTATACTGCTAGATTTGTACTTTTCGAGTGAACTCCGAGTATACGTTTAAAAAATTTCAACTGAAGTGATTCCATTTTATTCACCACACTGAAAAATCTCTTTTGGAAAAGTTCAAACGAAGAAATTTTACCCAGTAAACATACACCCCAGATTTCACAACCATATAATAAAACTGGAACCACTACCGAATAGAATAGTTTCAGTAATGTTTTAATCGGTATATTCTCTACATTTGAAAGTTTCTGCATTAGGCAATTGTAAGCTCGTAATGCCTTGTTGTATAACATTGTTGTCGCTATCTTAAAGTTACCACCACAATGAAAAGTTAATCCCAAATACGTATATTCGTTCACACAATCCAGTGGATTGTCCCCGAAGAACCACTTGGTGGAGATAAATTGTCATCTTTGATACTGTGTCCCGAAAATCAGAATTTTTGTTTTTTTTAGATTAACTTGTAATTTCCATTTCTTAGTATATAGTTCAAGTTTTTGAAGGCAGCATTGTAGCCCAGATTCCGAT